CATATCTTTTTGCCGTTTCACACTGTTCATGGGGCTCTCAAGGCAAGTCCATTGAAGTGGTTTTTTGTTCCTTTCTCCAGTGGACCACATTTTGTCAGAACTCTCCACCTTGACCCATCTGTCTTGGGTGGCCCTGCACAGCATGGCTCATAGTTTCATTGAGTTAGATAAGACTGTGGTCCATGTGATTAGTTTGATTAGTTTTCTGTGATTGTAGTTTTCATTCTGTCTGCCCCCTGAGGGATAAGGGATAAGCTTATGAAAGTTTCCTGATGGGAGAGACTGACTGTGGGGGAAGTTGGGTCTTATACCAAAATGCAGTTCTTGGGTTCAATCTCAAAAACGACAGAATGATCTCTGTTCATTTCCAGGACAAACCATTCAATATCACAGTAATCTGAGTCCATTCCCCAATCAGTAATGCTGAATAAGCTGAAGTTGAACGGTTCTATGAAGACCTAAAAGAACTAGAACTAACACCAAAAAAAAAAAAAAAAAAAGATGTTCTTTTCATTATAGGGGACTGGAATGCAAAATAGGAAGTCAACAGATGCCTGGAGTAACAGGCAAATTTGGCCTTGGAGTACAAAATGAAGAAGGGCAAAAGCTAACAGAGTTTTGCCAAGAGAATGCACTGGTCATAGCAAATACCCCCTTCCAGCAACTCAAGAGACAACTCTACACATGGACATCACCAGATGGTCAATACTAAAATCAGATTGATTATATTCTTTGCAGCCAAAGATAGAGAAGCTCTATACAGTTAGCACAAACAAGAAAGAGATCTGACTGCGACTCAGATCATGAACTCCTAATTGCAAAATTCAGACTTAAATTGAAGAAAGTAGGGAAAACCACTAGACCATTCAGGTTTGACCTGAATGACCATGACCACGGTCATGGATCATATGACCTTAAGATTATACAGTGGAAGTGAAAAATAGATTCAAGGGATTAGATCTGATAGAGTGCCTGAAGAACTATGGATGGGGGTTCGAGACATCATACAAGAGGCAGTGATCGAGACCATCCCCAAGGAAAAGAAAGGCAAAATGGTTGTCTGAAGAGGTCTTACAAAGAGCTAAGAAAAGAAGAGAAGCAAAAGGTAAAGGGAAAAAGGAAAGATATACCCACTTGACTGCAGAGTTCTAAAGAATAGCAGGGAGAGATAAGAAAGCCTTCCTCAGTGATCAATGCAAAGAAATATAGGAAACCAACAGAATGGGAAAGACTAGAGATCTCTTCAAGAAAATTAAAGATACCAAGGAAGCATTTCATGCAAAGACGGGCACAATAAAGGACAGAAATTGTATGGACCTAACAGAAACAGAAGATATTAAGAAGAGATGGCAAGAACACACAGAACTAAACAAAAAAGATCTTCATGACCCAAATTACCACAATAGTGTGATCCCTCAGCTAGAGCCAGACATCCTGGAAAGACAAGTGGACCTTAGGAAGCAAGACTACAAACAAAGCTAGTGGATATGATGGAATTTCAGTTGAGCTATTTCAAATCCTAAAAAATGATGCTGTAAAAGTGCTGCACTCAATATGCCAGCAAATTTGGAAAACTCGGCAGTGGCCACAGGACTGGAAAAGGTCAGTTTACATTCCAATCCTAAAGAAAGACAATGCCAAAGAATGTTCAAACTACTGCACTATTCCACTCAACTCAAACACTAGCAAAGTAATGCACAAAATTCTCCAAGCCAGACTTCAACAGTACGTGAACTGTGAATTTCAGGATGTTCAAACTGGATTTATAAAAGACAGAGAAACCAGACATCAAATTGGCAACATCCGTTGGATCATAGAAAAAGCAAGAGTTCCAGAAAAACACCTACTTCTGCTTTATTTGACTATGCTAAAGCCTTTAGTCAAATGCTCTACCACTGAGCTATACCCCCTATGCTAAAGCCTTTAACTGTGTGGATCACAACAAACTATGAAAGATTCTTCAAGAGATGGGAATACCAGACCACCTTACCTGCCTTCTGAGAAATCTGTTTGCAGGTCAAGAAGCAACAGTTAGAACTGGACATGGAGCAACAGACTGGATCCAAATCGGCAAAGGAGTACGTCAAGGCTGTATATTGTCACCCTGTTGATTTAACTTATATTCAGAGTACATCATGCAAAATGCCATGCTGGATGAAACACAAGCTGGAATCAAGATTGCCGGGAGAAATATCAATAACCTCAGATATACAGATGACACCACCCTTATGGCACAAGTGAAGAGAAACTAAAGAGCCTCTTGATGAAAGTGAAAGAGGAGAGTGAAAAAGTTGGTTTAAAATTCAACATTCAGAAGACTAAAATCATGGCATCCAGTCCCATCACTTCATGGCAAGTAGATGGGGAAACAGTGGAAACAGTGACAGACTTTATTTTGGGGGTCTCCAAAATCACTGCAGATGGTGACTGCAGCCATGCAATTAAAAGACGCTTACTCCTTGATTACTTTGCCAACAAAGGTCCATCTGGTCAAAGCTATGGTTTTTCCAGTGGTCATGTATGGTTGTGAGAGTTGGACCATAAAGAAAGCTGAGCACCAAAGAATTGATGCTTTTGAACTGTGTTGTTGGAGAAGACTCTTGAGAGTCCCTTGGAATGCCAGGAGATCAAACTAGTCAATTGTAAAGGAAATCAGTCCTGAATATTCATTGATAGGACTGATGCTTAAGCTGAGACTCCAATACTTTGGCCATCTGATGTGAAGAACTAAATCTTTGGAAAAGACCCTGATGCTAGGGAAGATTGAAGGCAGGAGGAGAAGGGGACGACAGAGGATGAGATGGTTGGATGGCATCACTGACTCAATGGACATGAATTTGAGCAAGCTCTGGGAATTGGTGACGGACAGGGAAGCCTGAGGTGCTGGAGTCCATGGGGTCACAAAGAGTCGGACACGACTGAGCAACTGAACTGAACTGATCTCATACACATACACACCCACACACACACACACGTGTGTGTATATATATATATATATATGTGTGTGTGTGTGTGTATATATATCTCCACACATATATACTCGTGCACATATATACATATACACTCACAAATATATATATATATACACACACACATATGTACATATACAGTTATACACACACACACACACATCTATATATTTTAGATTGTTGAAATAGCTTATCATAAATTTAAGCATAAGAGAAACTTTAGAGTTTTAATTTTTCTAGAACTTTGATTTTTATCAGCACTACATTTTCTTTAACTCTTCTGATAACTCCCTATTGCATTTACTGAAGATTTTAATACAGAAAAAAAGAACAAAGACAGCAACCAAAACACTCAGGCTTAGCCACAGGTGACCTGCGTGCCTATAGAGCAGAAGGAGGTCCCACTTGGGAATCAGGTCTGTTCTCCAGCCCCTGGTTTTAAACAAACTCACTGTTGTAACCCAGGTGAATAATTCTATCTTTCTGACCCTCTTCCTTACCCATAAAATTATATAAACTTATATATACCCATGTTTATATAAACTTTTTCAACCAGTCCTTCCTGCTTTATCTTACTAGGTGTGTATTCTCATTGGAAGCTATGTGGGAAATATTTTAAATGATCTAAATTAAAAATCCATGATGCTTCAAAACCCATAACATCTTCAGTGTTGATTGAGTAAAAGGAGAGCCTTAAATTGGTGATTGCAAAGATTTCCTTTGACAAGTGCTCCTGAGTTGTGTGTATATTTGGGGGGATTCCTGTCTTGTCACCTTCCATTACTATGGATTCCATGTGCTCACTCACTCAGTTGTGTTCGACTCTTTGGACCCATTAAGTATAGCCCACCAGGCGCCTCTATCATGTGATTCTCCAGGTAAGTCTACTGGAATGGGTTGCCATTTCTTCCTTCATGGGATCTTCCCAACCAAGGGATCAAACCCACATCTCTTGCATCTCTTGCATTGGCAGGCAGGTCCTTTATCACTGGCAGTACCTGGGAAAACCCTGGGTTCCTTAGTGTAACTTATTTAACTTCAGAGTTGTTTTTTGTTTGTTTCATCTCACAGTAAATAAGTGTGGGTCAGAGCTAGTAAATTTAAGAAGGAAGTGCTTATAATAACTTCTCTGTTCATCTTACTAGTTGTTAAAAGTTCTTTCTTCTTTCATACTACTTTCTTGCCCAACCTTTCAGGCTAGGGTGGTGGGAGGTGGGGTTCAGAATTGGGGGGACACATGCATAACTGTGGTTGATGCATGTTGATGTATAGCAAAAGCCATCACAATATTGTAAAGTAATTATCCTCCAATTGAAATAAATTAACTAATTTTTTTAAAAAACTGGCTTGTGTGTCCATCCCTGGAGGACTGAGCCTTCCATTCTGAGTATCTCCCTTAATTCCTTAGTTCTGCAGCCCCTGCTTTCTGACTGATAGTTGATAAACTCATACATTTTATAGCAATGGATGCATTGATGCTCTTAACTAAGGTAATATTTGTCTTGAAACAAAATTTCCTGTGCTTTAAGGAAAATGAATCTTTGGTGAGTGGGGTGAAAGGACTTAAGTTGTGGGAGGTTCCTAAGACCTGAGGTGAGCTATTCCTAACTGATTCCAATGAAATCTCAACCCCAAAGAGTCAGTATGGTGATAGATTTGTGATGGTAAAGATATTAATCTATGTTTTCTTTCCCATATTAAATGAATTATAGCACATTACACTGTTCTCTTCACCATGACCATCTGATAATGTCCATGGGATGAAGCTGTGTCAGAGCCATCAGACATACCTTCTGGATTAATAAATTTAAAAGATGCTGTATCTTGACCCAGTTTCCATTGTCTCTCATTAACTCTTAAGGCCCATACAACTTTGTAAATGTTCCTGTTTATGCCACACATGAGAAATGCTAATATTTAACAGTTTTTATATATCTTTGAGATGAGTCACAGAAAAAGAAAAGAAAATTTCATTATATCTTGTCAGAATAACTCTGAACTTGTCAGGTTTGTTTGTTTGTTTTTTTCCAGCTGTGTCCTGTGGAATCCCAGAGTCCCCAGGAAACGGTTCATTTATGGGGAATGAGTTCACACTGGACAGTAAAGTGACCTATGCTTGTAATGAGGGCTTCAAGCTGGATGCTAGTCAGCAAGCTACAGCCGTGTGTCAGGAGGATGGATTGTGGAGCAACAGGGGGAAGCCGCCTGCGTGCAAACGTAAGTGTCCAGTGCTCTGCCTGGCCTCAGATTTAAGGAGGAACAGACACATGGGTGAGAACTCTGGCCTCCACAGTGCGAGATCCTTTCCCTCAGCGTATGAGCATTTGTCTCTGCCTTGTGGTCATGTTACATTAGTCTATTCCATATCAGCCACTCTAACCATCAACATAAGCTCTGCAGTCGTGAAGGCGGGTCATACGGAATCACGTTGGGTCCATCAGCACCTCGACCCTGAAACGTGCACAGAGAATCCTGGCCATGCCACTGTGTTCAGTTTGGAGAAATTCAGTCAGGAGGTTATTGAGACATCAAGCACTCTACACAGAATATTAAAATGTAATTCAACAAGTTTGCTCTGCGTCTCCCATCTCACTGAGTTCCCTGAGTGTCAAGGTGAGGCCTGAGTCTATTTGTACATCGCCTGCCTGTGTAACACACTGATGCTTAGTAAATGCATCACTGATTTGTGAAGTAGGGTGACTTTTTGGAAAGCTATTAAGAGTACATGATGATATTCTAAAAAGAATCACAAGTTTGGATTCATTCTTTTTTTTTAAGTTTTTATTGTTTTTTATTTTTTTAATTTATTTTATTTTATTTTGTTATTTTTTTAAATTTATTCTTATTAGTTGGAGGCTAATTACTTTATAATACTGTAGTGAGTTTTGCCATACATTGACATGAATCAGCCATGGATTTTCATGTGTTCCCCATCCTGAACCCCCCTCTCACCTCCCTCCCTAATTTATTTCTTTTAATTGGAGGTAATTACTTTACAGTATTGTATTGGATTCATTCTTAAGCTGTAGTCTTAAAAAAAAATAATCAACTCCATAACACAAAGCCAAAGAGAACAAATGTTCACACACACACACACACACACACACACCTGCACACACACACCTGCACATGCCCACACACACAGTATACACAAAGCTTTTCATTGAAGCTATGTTAAACTAGCTTCAAACTGGAAGTAATCTAACTACCTAGTTTCTAAAAATTGAAAACTACATAGTACTTCTACTTATACAGTATTTTTGCTCTTACGATATTACATCAAAGTCTTCAGTTATAAAATTAATTTATTGGCTTTTTTATGTATAGGATTTTAGTCATGTTAAAAAGTTATTTGAACTTTCTAGGTATGAACATATAAATGTTTATAAAAATAATCAACTTCCTTCCATAGGTTTTATTTTCCTCGCTGTCATTTTAATCTATGTTTTTCTTTTTTGCAAATAATCATTGCATTTTCAGAGAGTCAGGAAAGCACCATTGAGACAATCCTCATCCCTCAATGCCTGGCCACCACTGACCTTTTTACTATCTCCATAGTCTTGCCATTTCTAGAATGTCATAGAACTTGGAATCCCTCAGTAGCCTTTGCAGACTGGCTTCTTTCACTCAGTAACATGCCTTTAAGATTCCTCCATGTCTTTTCATGACTCAATGTCTCATTTCTTTTTAGCAAAATAAAATTCCACTGTCTGGATGAACCACAGTATATTTATCCATTCAACTATGGAAGGGTATCTTGGTTGCTTACGAGTGTTGGCAATTATGAATACAGCTATATACATCTGTGTGCAAGACTGTGTGGACATAAATGTTCAACTCCTTTGAATAAATGTAAGGGAGCATGATTGCTGGATCATATGATAAGAGTTTGTTTAGTTAAGAAACCACCAAATGTCCTTCAAGGTGACTGTACCGTTTTGCATTGGCACTGGCAATGAATGAGACTTCCTGTTGCTCCACACCCTCACCAGCATTTGATACTGTCAGTGCTGTGGGTTTTGACAGCTCCCGTACGTGTGTGCTGGTACCTCCTTGTTCTCATTTGCATCTTCCTGATGACATATGATGCGGAGCATCTTTTCACACGTTTATTTGCCATCTGTCTACCTTCTTTGGTGAAGTTTCAAATTAGGTCTTTTGCACATTTTTAATCAGGACATTCATTTTGTGTTGTTGTTCTTGAATTTTAAGAGGTCTTTGTATATTTTGGATAAGAGTCCTTTATCAGATGCATCTTTTGCCAATGTTTTCTCGTGGTCTATGACTGGTCTTCTCATTCTCTTGACAGTGTCTTTTGCAGAGTTTTTAATTTTAATCAAGTTTAGCTGATCAGTTCTTTCTTTCATGGAGCATGCCTTTTATCTTGTACCTGAAAAAATTGTCCCCAAAATCAAGGTCACATAGATTTTCTCCTGTGTTATCTTCTAGGAGTTGTGTGCTTTACATTTGGGTGTTTGATCCATTTCAAATGAGTTTCTCTAGAGGGTGCCAGCATTTATTTTTGCATGTAGATCTCCAGTTGTTCAAGCACCACTTGTTGAAAAACTGTCTTTTTTCCATTTGTATTGGCTTTTGATCAGTTGTCAAAAATCAGTTCTGTTTATATGAGTGTCTCAGGCTCTCTGGTCTATTCTGTTGATCTCTGTGTCTATGTCATGCTGTCTCCTCGTTTTGTTTTTACTAGGAAACTAGTAAAAAGAAAAATTTTCAGTTTCATACAAAATCAGTCCTGTTTGGGATTGTAAATATCTCTAGGCACATATCTGATTTTAGTGAAAATGTCCAGGTAGACATGGATACCTCTGTTCTCATTAAAGCTCTAGGAAAATCATTTTTCTTGAAGATAATGCAGCTCACTGGGGGTCATAGACACACAGTCTCTGTGGTGTTTATTTTAACCATGGAAGCTTTATCCTTAGCTTAACTGAAAGGTGTCTGTCATGTGTGCCTGTTGCTTCTCAGGATAGAGAAGTGAACATGCACAGTCAGTCTATCCCTATAATGCCAGTTTGGTTCTTCCTGAATATATGTAGGACAGAATGCCTTTCAGTATAAACACAGACTTTTTCTTTTTTTTTAGTATCTGTATGAGTCATGTTTATGTTAAGGCAACTCTTCATTGGGTAAAACAATGCACAGCTGCACTTTCGTCTCAAGAATTCTAATGCAAGTGGTTTATTGTTGTTTATAGTCACTCAGTTGTGTCCGACTCTTTGCAACCCAATGGGTTGCAGCACACGAGGCTCCCCTGTCCTTCACCATCTCCCAGAGTTTGCTTGAACTCATGTCCATCTAGTTGGTGATGCCATCCAACCATCTCATCCTCTTTCATCCCTTTCTTCTGCTTCAATCTTTCCAAGCATCAGGGTCTTTTCCAATAAATCAGTTCTTAGCATCAGGTGGTCAAAGTACTGGAGTTTCAGCTTCAGCATCAATCCTTCCAATGAATATTCAGGACTGATTTCCTTTAGGATTGACTAGTTTGATATCTTTGCAGTCCAAGGGACTCTCAAGAGTCTTCTCCAGCACCACAGTTCAAAAGAATCATTTCTTTGGTGCTCAGCCTCCTTTTATGGTTCAACTCTCACATCTGTACATGACTACCAGAAATACCATTGCCATATATGGACCTTTGTCAGCCAAGTGATGTCTCTGGTTTTTAATATGCTGTCTAGGTTTGTCAAAGCTTTTCTTCCAAGGAGCAAACATCTTTAAATTTCATGGCTGCAGTCACCATCTGCAGTGGTTTTGGAGCCCAAGAAAATAAAGTCTGTCACTGTTTTCATTTTTTCACCATCAATTTGATATGAAATGATGGGACTGGATGCTATGATCTTAGTTTTCTGAATGTTGAGGTTTAAGCCATCTTTTTCACTCTCCTCTTTCTGCCAATAAATAGATTAGCATTCTAGATATTCAACATGAGTGTTAACTGTGTGAGAATTATGAGAAAAAGAAGCACAACATAGCTTTTTGAGTCTTGGGTTGAGGATGGAGAAAGACAGAAGAGGCTCAAAGAGAGGGAAGCAGACAGCATTTCTTGAATTCCATTGGAAAAGTGGGTGAAGTCTCCCTCTGGGCATGGGGAGTCTGAGAGTCACTCTTAACAGGAGACCTGAAGGTGCCCTGGCTCACCTCTGCTCTGCCAGGACCTCAGCCTGACTGTCTGCACGGGGTTTTGGACAGAAAGAATGATGTAAGCTCTCCGAGGGAGATGACAGACAGACAGACATAGAGGAGGTAACGTGAGTGCCTGGTCAGTCTTTATGGAGCAGACAGTGATCCCATAGGGACTGAGCTAGGTCTGCTGAGGTGACAGTGATGATCTACACCCATGTTTTGAGTGTTAAGTCTAAACACTTGTCTATGTTGTATCATACAGTGATACTAACAGTCCTCTGGAGAAAGTAGTGTTTTCACCTCTTGCTAAATTCATACAAAGTAAATAATGGAAATATCCAAAGTTCACAATTTGCAACCACATACATTTGATAGGTGACACCATGAAAATATCTGGAGAAGTGTTTTGATGTGGTCACAGTGTCCTGTTGAAGGTCCCCTACTGCCACCGGTAAAGCCATGTGGTGACTGTTTGGTTTGGTACCAAAGCTTTGGGCATCCCAGAAGCACAGGGGTCATGACCTTCCCAGGTCTGCCTGGGGATACAGTGAATTGTGCTGTAGTGTGACTGCAGGCTCTTCATTCCATGAGTCCATAAATAGACAGTTTAAATATTAAATAGATTTCATGATTAGTGGGGGTGAGTGTAAGGAGAGGAGATATGAGAGTTCCCACAGTTATGAAATACACCCAGAGTTCAGATGTCCTAGGATGTTCCCAGCTACCCACAGCCAAGAAGAGAGCTCAGAACCACAGTCTGGACCCCCAGTTCCCTCCTCAGCGCCATCCTCCTGCCCCACATTTGCTGCATCATGTCCCATCACCTCCACTCACTCTACCCAGTACACTCGGCTGCCCGCTCAGGCCCCACGTACACCAACTCACCACCTCCTGCACCCATGGAACCACCTCCATTCACCTTCCTCCACAGTCTCCTTCCACACAGTCGCCGGCTCCTCCTTTAAGCACATACAAGTCACAACATGACACGTCACTGCTTAAATCCTCCCAGTTCTCCTGGCAATTAGGATGAAATTCGTAAACTTGATTATTTTGCACTCACTTCTCCAAAAGGC